GGAATAGTTTAGGTTAGATGGGCTTCAGATTGGTTTCACAGGTCGGCGCAACATCGAGGGCCGAAGGGCCTGTACTGCGCTGTAATGTTCTATGTTCTATGTTCCTTTGGATTATGTACAAACATGCAAACCAATGAACTAGGAACTTGAGCAGGCCATTCACAACCCTTCCAGCCTGCTCCACCATTCACTATCATCATGACTGTTCTGATTTTGGTCTCAACTCCTACATTTCCACATTCCCAATCCCCTTTGGATTCCTTGTTAGTCAAAAATCTATCTCAGTCTTAAAAAAAATTTAACTACCTCCATCACTCCATGGGGAAAACAGTTCCAAAGTCTCATGACTATCTGGGAGAAAATAATTCCTCCTCATCTCCATCTTAAATGGAGAACGCCTTAACTTTTAAACTTTGTCCTCGAATTATAGCCTTTCCTAAAAGGCAAAGCATCCTTGGAGCATCCACCCTGTCAAGTCTCCTCAAGATCTTGTATGTCTCAATAAGACCACCTCTCATTTTTCTAAACTCTCTTGGAGAGACAGCATCCGCATATCAGGAGTGATAACTTGTTTGACAGAGTCTTGAGCCCCATGACTGTCTCCAAATGAATAATTTGACTGGTGACTCAGTCAACATAAAGCCTTGATAAAACCGTATGGAAGGATTTCTTGCCAAGACTTGTTTTTTTTAAAAATTCATTCATTGGAAGTGGACTGTTTTTAAGAGCCTGAAGGTCTACCTACACTGAATATCTCCTTAGGACTCGTTCTGTTTCACTGCATGGGTAAATGGACAGGGAAATCAAGAGTAGAGAATGCCCTTGGAGGAATTCCATCAAGGAGACACCAAACCAAAAGGAGAAGGAAGTCAAATCTGAAGGAAGCTACAGATGATGTATAATGCAATTCCAGTACCAGATGGGTTCACATTAATATTTTAATTGCCAGCAAACAAGTACTAACTGAGAAACATTTTTCAAACAGTTACTAATCCTGTAGAGAGCTCTCCAAATGAAAATGCCCACTCCCCACATTGCATCGGGCTGAATTTTATTAGCGTTACTGAACTCTAATAGATTAGGACAATGCGTTGCTCGGCAATTAATTAGCACAGTGACGCCAATATCTCACATGGTGAACATCTCCCTTAAGCCTTTTAAAATTTACATTGTGCGTGATGTACCACTCAAATCACCAGCGCACCCTGTCCACAGTCACACATGAAAAGGGGCTACTTCTTTGAGCTACAGCAGAGAAGCCAGTTTGAATTAGCTCCCACTGCCTCTACATTCACCTAAGAGTTACTCAATATAGATATTTTAACTTGGGGTGCAGAAACTAAAGTCTCAAATTATCTGGGAAAATTGGATTCGGGAAGGGTATGAATCCTCTGTATCATCCCATTTTATACCAATGCCCATCGGTTGAAATGATTCCCAATGAGTTCTTGAGGGACAGCAAAGGAAGAAACATACAAAACGCATGGTTAGCTTCGGAGTAATGTTGGCAGAGGCCCTTTGACAGAGCTCTCACTTATATGCTCAGTAGGAGAATAACTGCAAACCTGGAAATAAAACTCAAATCCAAAGGATTAAAATGAACTCAAGGCATTGAAAAGTGTTACTTCAGGTGGAACAGCGTCATACAGACTTAGCTGAAACCATGAGAAGAACGATAACTTGGGTCAGATACCAGGCAACCAGCACCCACAATACCATGCCCAAGTGAGAGTCACTGCCTTTGAGTGAAGTTGTGAAAGAATCAGAGGTCCAAAGCCAAGGGAGTCATTCATGGTTAAGACACAAGTCACACTCCTTCTGCTTATATTCCACCCCACCTAGCATCCCTGCTCACTCTGTTTTATGGAGAGAGAGAGTGGAAAGACCACTTCAGCCTTCCTTTGATAGGCTCTGGATGCTGAAGGAGCTCCAAACTGGTCCCTGACCTTTGTAGTTAAGGGTGCCCCTGCTGAACGGAATTCCCCTCTTTTTGGGCACTACAGCACTTGGAAGGAAAATTTGTTTGGGCAATGTCAAAGCATCACAGGACAAATCTGGATTATTTGGGAGAGTCGGGGAGAGTGCAAAACTGCCAGATTTCCAATATGAAGTGTCACTGTGCTTGATTATCAAGGAATACAGAGTATCCAGTGGGATCAAGGAGAATACTTATTTTAGTTATGTTAAAAACACCATGGACATTCAGGCAAGGGTTAGGGTTACGGTTAGGGTCCCTTTCGAATCACAGCTGAGGTGCATTGTTGAGGAACACAGTAGGAGAAGCTTTACAACTCTGTGTCATCTGCTCTATGCAAATTTACCTGTGACTACTCAGTATTGGCACTGTGGCTTTCAAGTTGCAAGTGCAGAGGTTCCGGTCTCAAAAAAATAAGCTTTTTTAAAAATATCCTGTGCAATAATGTCCCCGCTTTTGGGATCATAATTCTGATTGCGCAGATGTACAAAGGTAGGGAGTGTTCACTCCCATCAATCTTCATGCAGCACATAGCAGTGTGCTTCAGTTCAATGCATACACAGGTAATGAAAAGAAGTACACGTAAAATTTCAGCTGTTTCTCCACCGTCTTCATCCTTTCTCAGATCTAAAATACAGGAACACCAACAGAAAATGTTCAAACAAACTGCAGATGGGGAAAACACAAAATTCTCTCAAACTTGGGTCAATTCATTGGTCAGTAAGAGATTAAATGGAGCAGAAATCAAGGGCAGGAGTTTTTAAAAAATATTTTTAATCAACCTGTTCAGAAGTGAGGCTTGAACCCAGGTCTTCCAGCTCAGAGGTAGGGACACTACCACTACACCACAAGAGCCCTCAGGCTGGGAGTTTAAGCTGCGAGCCCATGTGCAAACAATTAACAAGACTGTGCAAATGAGATGCAAGCTTTCCAGTGGATGTGACATCAACGAGGCACTTTTCCTAATTACAAAGGTTCAAAAAAAAAGGGCACGCATTAGAAAATCTCCAGGGGAGAAAGCCCTCAACAGTACAAAACATCTGAATGGTAATTTTTGTGCATTAGAGGTGTGTGATGCAAGAATTCCATACAAGACTAAAAATAAAAGGTACCAGAAATGTCAAGGGAGTGAGAAAAAGCAAGGGTTAAAACTGCATGATGCTTTTATTCATTCTAAAGTGCTTCCCCAGATCATAAGTTTTTTTCCATTCACTGGTGGGGCAACGGATCCTATTTACAAGTCTAATGTTGTCAAAGGTTTAGGAGCAGGTTAGCCTGCCTGCTCTCTCAGGCCCAGCATTGCTGAACTGACCCCAAACTCTCATTAACCAAAACAAGGAGGAAAGGAAAATACAACTAATTTCGAAAAACTCTAAAATACAATTACTTCAGTGTGGAAATGAATTGGACCCCTAAGCTCCTCAGAACAAATCAGTATGTAATTGAGCTGTGAAAACTGAAGCGAAGTACTGCAGATGCTAGAAATCTGAAATAAAAGCAGATAGTCCCGGAGCTGCAAAAACTGTTTCACTGCTGTTAAGTACAGCCTTTGGCAGTGCAGGTGGACAGAGACATTCAAGCAATGTGGGATTTAGAGGCATTGGAGTTAAGGATAGAAGCCCAGTGGTGAGGGGTTTGACTCCCAGCCTATGTTGCAGGTGCCTGAACTTGAGTTGGAGTCACTAAAATGAATCTCAGGACTCTTTGACCAGACAGTTGAGGAATAAATCTTCACTTTGCACTGGAACACGCATGTGTTGGTCAGGAATGTGATTACAGCTCCATCTGTTGAAAGGTGAAAGAACATCACTTGGGAATATCACTCAAGGTCATTTAGCAATGAAACCAGAAAGTGCCCAGAACCCTCAAAGTCTCACCGCCAGAAGCATACCTCACTGCCTTCGAAAATGGAGGAATTGAGAGCAGAAGAGACAGGAGGAGACCATTCAGCTCCTGATCTGTACCTTAGTTCCATTTATGAGTTTACACACCCAGATGAGTGGAACCCCATGTAATATACAAGGAACAAAGTGATGGAGGCATTTCAGTAGGGTCTCCATGTGCAAATATTGAGGGGGATATGGGGATGGGTCAACGATCAGCACAAGACAGTGGTGGAAATGTTGATAATGGTCGTTATTGTGAAAAAAACAAAGTTTTTGTTTTAAAATCATTTTGCTTGCAAAACTCTTTTGGGCACAGGTACCGGTTAGTGGAGTGACTCAACTGACTGTCCAGTGACGCTGAAGGTGCAGCATCTCCCCACTCTCCAAAAAGTGAGCTACACAGGTAGGGCTGCTTTCATAGGCTTCAAAGCAAGAATGTGTACCTGCAGCTGCTTCAGACAGTCCACCCGTAATCGAATATCTAAATCAAATTCATTTTGGCTTGGGGCTCATACATTTGTCCTTGCATATATTTCTACCTTTTTTTTTCAATTTTCCCTTTTTTGTACAAAAAGTTCTCTTTGTTCATCTTTTGCGTTCCAGCTGCTTTTTTGCCCTCTTACACACACATATGAACATCAAGAAATTGGATATCAGATTGATACTGTGAAACGTATTTGATGTCCACGACTATGCGATGAAGTATATATAATATAAATATATACACTCACGACACACAAAAAGAAAATGAGACAGACAGACATACATACAATGAATAAAACACACATACTAAAAAGCCTGTCAGAGATAAAGTGCAGAGCACGAGAGGATGTACATGTGGCTAGAGTGCGAGATACTGGACAGACATACGTAGAATGAGACAAAAAGAGACAAAGAGACTAGTGCATTCAATACAGGAAGGAAAACAACCCATGTTTCAACTAAGGCCATCAGTGATGTTCAAAGGCAATCTCCTCCCCTCTCCAAGACTGGCTGGCAGAATTCAACCAGTTTCTCACCTCACTCAGTCACTAATTGATTCAATTGAGAAGTGGAAATCTGGTGTCCTTAGCTAACCAGCCTACCAGACACCAGTGCCACACAACAAGGTGATGGAGTCTTAACTCTGCAACGATTCAGTTGGCTGCTCGGTTATAGTGAAGGAGGCAGCTCACCATCATCTTCCTAAAGGGCAACTAAGAATGGGCAACAAATGCTGACCTTGCCTGCAGCATCCACATCCTATGAATGAAAGATTTGAAAACCTCGTCGTTATTCAAACATTACATGTGGGAAGAAACCCATCTGTGCAACTTACATCAATAAATCCCTGAATACTATGATCCCTTAGGAAAAAAGAACTTTGATGCCTTCCCCAGTCACAAATCCAATAGTTAACAGAATTACAAGATAATTATCAGAAACTGCAATTAGTCATAGCAATGACCAACAATTAATTGCTTCAGAGATCAAGGAAACAAGCGATGGGGTGTAGTGCTTATGTTTGTTAAAAAAAATTAAACTTTTTTTCTCTCTGCGTAACGTTGCCTATTTGGCAGCAAAACCCAACTCCCTTCATTTGGAACATGACTAAAACTCTCATGAAAACACACATGTGCACAAATATAGTCTTTGCAACAACTGCTTTCCAATACCAGATTGAATTTGATCTATCTTTCTGAAAATGCGCTCAATAAAAAAAATAATTAAACTTCATATATTATTGAGCAAAAGAAATCACGTTAAAATCTTTTTTGGGGTTGGTAAACAATGGATGTTAAACAAAGAACAAAGGAGATAAGGTGAGCAGTGGCAACAGTACCACTGCATTAAGAACAAGTGGAGACTCAAGTCTCTCAGTCCAGTAAGTGCAGTGATGGATGTCTCTTCAACATCTGGACATCCAAGTCCCACATCCACAAAAAAGTTTAATGTTTGTCTCTTTTTTTTAAATCCTCCCTCTCACATACATTGGTCAGAACTTCTTGTATCATTGTTTCCTTTGAGTCTTCGTTTTTAAAAAATGAGACAGATTTTTTTCTCCTACATTCTCTTTCAGTTTTCTTTTGTAAAAAAAAATGTGTACACCACCCGCTCCTCTCCTGCTTACGGCTTTTCGCTTGTTCACTCGTGAACGTCCCATATTTCAGAAAGCAGGGGTGGCAGCTTCTTGTCCTGAAGCCTGAGGGCAAAGACCTGTTCCGAGTGGACACTGCTCAGGGTCCGGAGACTGACCAGCTTCATCAGCATCCGAGGAAACATCAGGTGGTCCTGCAACACGGAAAGAAACAGCACTTATTGAATTTCTCCAGCATGATAAAGAGGCTGCGCATCTCACCGAAATCCAATTAGCCCTTTTCTCCTGCTGCGTCCCTGTGGTTCCACCAATTTTTTGGTTAACATTACATATCCAATTCCCTTTTGAATGTAACAACTGGATTTGCTTCTACTTCTCTTTAAGACATCATATTCAAAATCAGATCAATTCACACTGCAAAACATCCCCATTAACATAAAACTTTGACTACTTATTACCATCTCTCCTGCCAGTGCAAACTATTTTTTCTTCCACGGTGTTAAAAATTTATAGACTGTTACAACACACAGATCATCAGTCTATCATACCTATGCTGCCTCTTTGCCACAGCAATCTAATTATTCTTATTTCTCTGTAGCTCTGCAAGTCGTTTCCTTTTTAATTATCTATCCAATTACCTTTTGAATATTATTATTATTGTTAATCTGCCTCTATTGAGTTTGCAGTCAGCACGTTCTAGATCGTAATAATTCGTTATGTAAGTAACCTTTTGTCATGTCCCTGGATTTTTTTTTCTACTAATTTTCTCAGATCTGTCTCTTCTGCTATCGACTCTCCTGCTTATGGAAACAGTCCCTCTTTCTACACCAACAAAACCATGTATAATGTTAAAGATACTATTCAAATGTTGTTTAAAAACAAACATTCTCAACAATAAGTTACTTTTTATTTTAAAATAATTCACCCCCTCTCTAATTTTGTTTTGTAAATATTGTGTGAATCATGTTGGGGAATACTTTTGGTGGAAATAGGATAGTTTCTTAATCCAAGCATCAAGAATCAGCATCTAGTACACTCAGGATTGGAACCAGTATTGTGTCAACCCTAACTCAGAGCTGTATTCTTGTCACTGAGTGAGAAGTCCATCTGCGGAGACTGGGGAATGCAAATCAAGGCTGACACTTTAATGCAGTACCCAGGGAGGGGTACACTGTCAGAAATAATCGAGGCTCCACAAGATAAGCACACAGCTCTCTCTCTCTCTCTCTCTCTCTCTCTCAGAAGAGTGAGGAAATCCTCCCTGGTGTCCTTATCCCTGAAACAACATTATCTTATTGACAGTCACGGGATCTTGCTGTCCGCATTCTGGTGTCCTTTGTCACAGCAGTGATTATATTTCTAAATTCCTGCTTATGCTGTAAAGCATTTTGGGATGGCCCAAGGTTGTGAGAGTTGTCACACAAGTGCAGGCCCTGCTCTTTTGTGTTGTTGAGCCTACCTTTGGTCTCTTGATGCGCAAGTACGAATGAAGTGCTTCTACATACGGCTGCTGGAGCCTCTCCACCAATGCGTGGTCTTGAACATTAGGTCGGTCTGCAAAGTCAAAAATCCCAAAGTCATTTGCAAGAAAACAAGTGTGGACGCTGTATAGCATTTGTAGAAAGTAGGGAGAGGTTGGGATTGCTCACCACTAGGAAAGATGCGAGCTTCCCACATTTTAAGATCTGGGCCTTATGAGAAGTGAAGTCACTTCCTCCAGCTAAAGAAATAGGAGCAGTAGACCATTCGGCCCATTGAACCTGCTGCCTAGTCAATATGATCATGGCGGCTCTTGGGAGTGAACTTCACTTTCCCTCCTGATTTCCATATCCCTCGATTCCTGGAGAAAGGCCAAACACCTGTCTAACCCAGCCTACAATATTTTCTATGATGGAATATCAGTGACTTATTTAAGGACAGGGAAATACATTGGAGGCAATTCAAAGAAACATTCCCAAGACTAGTACCTGGAATGAGAGTGTTGTTTTATAAGGAAAGGTTGGATAGGCTAGACTTGTATCCACTGGAGCTTAGAAGAGCGAGGTGACATGATTAAAACATATAAGATCCCAATGAGTTTTGACAGGGGAGATGTAGAAAGGATGTCTCCCTCTTATGGGAGAATTTAGAACTGTTTAAAACAGATTAAACATATTAAAGGCCATTAACGACAGAGATTAGGCAAATTTTCTTCTCTCAAAGGGTCATGAGTCTCGGAATCATTGAGTCATACAGCACAGAAGCAGATCCTTTGGTCCAACCAATCAATGCTGAACATAATCCCAAATTAGGCAAGTCCCACCTGCCTGCTCCTGGCCCATATCTCTCCAAACCTTTCCTATTCATGTACTAATCTAAGTGTCTTTTAAATATTGTAACTGTGCCCACACCCAAATCTTGGGAATATTCTCCCTGAAAAGATTACAGAAGCAGATCACTTGAATATTTTCAAGGTCGAGATAGATTCTTGGTACGCAAAGGGGTGATCAATAGTAGGTGGAAATTTAGATCTGAAGTTACAATCAGATCACCCATGATCTTACTGAATGGTGGAACAAACCCAAGGGTTGAATGGCCTACTCTTGTTCTTTATTAATACCGTGTATACATGTAACTTTCTAGACAGAGAAGTCCAAAAACAAAGACAATGCTATGAGTGAAGAAATTCCTCTTCATCTCAGTATTAAATGATCATCCCCTTGATTCCTCAGCCATAGGAAATAACATTCTCCATGTCTAACCTGTCAAGCCTCTACAGAATTTTGTATGTTTCAATGAGACCACCTTTTATTCTGATAAACTCTGGAGAACATGGACCCAATTTATTGAGTCTCTCATCAGAGGGAAATTCTCTCAACCTCAGGAACAATCTAATGAACCTTTCTTGTTGCCGCCTCCAAAGCATGTGTTTCATTTCTTCAAAACAGAAACTATATCAGGACACAGTGCGGGCCTCACCCAAGCCCGCACAGCTATAGCAATAAAACTTTATCCACGCACTCAAATCCCTTTTCAATGAAGGCCAACTCGACATTTGTTTTCCTAATTGCAGTAAAGAGACTCTGGCTATGCACAACATTGGCAGTCATGCTGAAAATTAATCCACATGGGAGGAGATAAATTGTCACATTGGTGCAGAGAGGAGACTAGGCCTGATGAACAAACTCGAGCAGATTACAGTGAGTTTTAATTAGAATATAACACGAGCAGTAGGAACAGCAGTAAACAATTCATACAGTCATACAGTGCTGAAAAAGACCCTTCAGTCCAAACAGTCCATGCTGACCATAAACCCAAACTAAACTAGTCCCACCTAGCTGCACTTGGCCCATATGCCTCCAAACATTTCTTATTCATGTACTTATCCAAATGTCTTTTAAATGTTGTAATTGTTCCCGTACCTACCACTTCCACTGGAAGTTCATTCCACACATGAACCACTGTGTGTAAAAAAACTGGCCCTCATGTTTTTAAAATCTTTCTCCTCTCACCTTAAAAATATGTCCCCTCGTCTTGAAATCCCCCACCCTCGGGAAAAGACAACTGCCATTCACCTTATCTTTACATCTCCTGATCTTATAAACTTCTATAAGGTCACCCCTCAACCCCCTATGCTCCAATGAAAAAAAAAGACCCAGCCTGTTCAGCCTCTCCTTATAACTCAAACCCTCCATTCAGCCCCAATAAGGTCATGGCTGACCCACAACTTCAACTCCCACTTTACCTTCATCCCCTGGTTCCCTCAAATCGGGAAAACCTTTCAATCTCTGTCTCAAATATATACAATTACTTAGCACATAAAACCGTGCATCATGAACACCAGAGATACTAAACTCTGGAGTGAAGACACTTCCCCTCACCTCAGTCCCTAAGGTGGCTGACCCCTTAACATGAGACCATCAGCCCTGGTCTAAAGCGTCCAGTCAGTGGACACATCCTCTTAACATCCAGTTGCACATCAAGTGATTTGAAGCATTTGACATTGACGCTGGCTGCCTTGAAATGGATAACATTTCATCCTGCATATCCATGCTGAGCACAGGATAATTTCTTTTATAAACAAAAATAAAATGAACAGAAACCTGCTGAGAAGATGTTGATGGCTATGAGCAGGGCATACTCGGCGTCATCTAATTGCAGCTTCCTCATACCTTTCGAAAATTCAAAGATTGGGTTTATGAATTCAACCTGCAACCCTAGGTCAGAGAGAATGAGACAGACAGGAACACATTATTTAAAGATAACATGAGAATGTTCACTTGCTCGAACTCTAGAACTTTGTGCCATTAATAACTGACAAGCTGGTGACAGATGAAGAGTTAAGTACAGGGGTGACAGAGTTCTTACAGTGCAGAAGGAGGCCATTTGTTCCATCCTGTGCGTGATAGCTCTTTGAAATGAGCAATCCTTTTTGTGCTTTTCTCTTGCCTTCTCCTCCAACCTTGCATATTCTTCTTTTTCAGATAATAGGCCCCTTTCAAAAGGGAATGAGACTTCAAAGCAAAAATCTTACTGGACTCCAAACGTTAACTCTGTTTCTCTATTCACAGTTGCTGCAAGAATTCCTCACTGTCTCCAAACCTTTTGGGACTTTTCTTTTGCCTTAGAATTACCAGTTCAGTAACATTATCACTACCACTTGGGTTGAATTGCACTGTTAAAAAAAAAAGTGCCACCAAGTAGTGGGAGGCAACAGCCTAGTGGTATTATCGCTGGACTATTAATCCAGAGACACTGGTAATGTTCTGGGAACCCGGGTTTGGATCCTGCCATGGCAGATAGTGGAATTTGAAATCAATGAAAATCTAGAATTAAGAGTCTAATGATGACCATGAATCGATTGTCGGAAAAACCCAAATGGTTCACTAAAGTCCTTTAGGTAAGGAAACTACCATCCTTAACCGGTCTGGCCTACATGTGACTCCAGACCCAAGAAATGTGGTCGTTTCTTAACTGCAGTCTGGGCAGTTAGGGATGGGCAATAAATGCTGGCCTAGTCAGTGAAGTCCACAACCTGTGAATGAATAAAACAAAAGTAGCAAGTACAGACTTAATTTTTAGCAGATTGAAACTGGGTTCAAAGTTAGGCTAGCACGATGCACTGCAGTTTTAATTCAGGTTCTAACAGCAGACATGAATTCATGTCAGACATTCTCAATCGAGCTGCTCTAGGCATGAGCCCTCAGCGTAAAACCATCCCTCACTGGCCGCTTCAATCAAGGGCTGTGGGAAATAGAACCACAATCCACAAGACCAAATAAACAGTAATACTGAAAAGTGGTTATTAGTGGTGTAATGTGTGGCAGGGATATAGCCACAATCCTCAGACCACATAACACCAAATAACGAGACAATAAGATATTGTGCTCTGCTCCTCCACTGGTACCTCAATTGTAGAAAGGGGGTCAGGTATGAATTGAAAGATAGAATGAAGAAATCTTTTCTGGCAGCAACAATTCTCACCACTGCCTATTATTTCTTTTCCGAATATGCTACATCAGTCTCTACATTCAATTTTAAACAACTGGCTCCCCCTAGTGACCAACTTAGTAGCAACTCCAAAGGGGCCGTTAATCAGCCATTCACATCAGAAAGCCTCTGATACAATTTCTGATCTAAGTCTCTGCCTGGGACAGTGAATGGAGAAGGTAAGGGAGTTGGGGGTGAGAAAGGTGTGGGTGGAGGGGACCCTAAGTATGACCCGAAGAATGCTGGAATGGGAATAAGTTGTGACGACTGCTGTGGTCGAATAGGGTCACATATGCTGAAGAATGCTGCTCAATTTAAATACTGGAGGGTCTGTTGTGTCTAGGGAGCTATGATTTAGCTCCTCTGAGAAGACAAATGGGCACCAACAACTAAAAATTGGAAAGAAAATAGACAGTGGCAGGAACCAGGAGAGGAATCAGAAATAATGAAAATGTGCTGGAGAAACTCAGCTGGTCTAGCATCATCTGAGAATCAGGGTTAATGTTTTGAGTCCAGCATGACTCCATTTTGAAGGAGAATACTGGACTTGAAAACTTAACTCTGTCTCACTCCACAGATGCTGCCAGATGTGCTGAGTTTCCCCAGTAGTTTGTTTCTTTTTAGTTAAAATTTCCAGCCTCTACAGTATTTTGCTTTTATGACAGGTATCAGATACATAGCTTCACTGACCAGCCCGTGCAAAGTCATCTTTGCTGTATGTGAAATCCTTGAGGAAAGTGATGCATTCTGTCTCATGGTTATATCGCCGTGCTGTCTCCAGCAACATAATCTGCAAAAAAATTCAGGAGAAGAAAAAAAATGCTGTGGGTTAGACTTTTGCTTCGGAATGTCATGGCCACAAAGTCGCAAACGATGGCAACTGCTTCACCCTTGCCCCACCTCAACTGTCCCCATGCTACAGTGACAACCAACACAACTGATCAAAGTGCATGATTCACATTAAAACTGATTTGGAGCTCATGATCTATAGGCTGACAACCCCTGCGCAGCACTGAGAGTTTGCAGCACTGTCGGAGGTGTCATAGAGTCATAGTCACTGAGCCATACTGCACGGGAACAGACCCTTCGGTTCAACCAGACTATAATCCCAAATTAGTCTCAACTGCCTGCACTTATTCATGTACTTAACCAAATGTCTTTTAAACGTTGTAACTACCCACATCCATCACGTCCTCTGGAGGTTTATGGGCGGAGTGGGAGGGAGGGGGTTCTCCCCAGCTTTCCCCTGTGTTCTGGCTAATACTTATCCCTTGACCAATATGCAAGACAACAGATTATCTGACCACAGATGTATGCAGGGTCTGCATATGAACAAACTGACCACCATGTTTCACATATTGGATTTGTGATTTCACCTCGAAGTCCCTCTGTAACTGTCACCCCACGATTGTGAAAGGGTCGATATAAATGAAAATATCTCTCTGTTATAGTCATTCTCCAGAATAAGGGTGCAGTCTCAGGGTCAATGCTAATTGCTTTATCATTAACTGGGAGGAACTACGCATCGAAATAAATCGTTTAAGAGAAACGGAATCTTGTTATTGTATCTAAAGTAGGTGGAGGACAGCAAGCTCGCTTTCAGGGACTAGATCAGCTTGAGGCTTGATATAGAAGTTAAAAAAATAATCAATGCAGACAGAATAAAACTGCTTGAGATTTAGGTTGAATGGCAAGAGAACCAGTGGTGACATGGAGAAATTGTTTTAAACAGCAAGTGGTTAGGATTTGGACTGAATGTGTATTGCAGAAAGATTTAATCATAGTTTTCCCAAGGGACTGTAACATGCACCTGAAAAGAAAAAGGTTAGGTGATTCAGTGAGATTAATTGAGGTGTGTTTGCAGAGACCCAGCAAGGTCATAATGGATAAAACAATCTCCTGCGATTCTCTACTGGAGTGTAAAACGAACTACATAAATCAAAGCACATGTGTAGCCATATTTAATTCGGAAGGGTTTCAAACACATAGTGGTTATATTTCTGGACTAGCGAGCCAATGAATAAATAAACAAGTTGTTAAAAAAAAAGTCCCATGTCAGTATGAACATTTGAAGTCAGTTTTTAAAAATCTGGAAATAAAAAAAAAACTAGAGTCAGTCAACATGACCATACCAAAAAAACTCAACCAGTTCAATTGAAGAAAGCCCAGTGTTCACAGGATGAGATAAGACCTGCAAGGGTGTACTATGGGGAAAGACTTTGGTAGTGCAGATGCAGAGAAAGTGTTTACACTTGAGGCTATTCAAAACTAGATATCATAAATACAAGACAGTCACTGATAAATCTAAGAGGAAGTTTAGTTAGAAACTTGTTTACCCACAGAAATGCGAAGAAGTGACTGTGATTAACAATGTTTACGTGACAAGTAGAAGCCAGATAAACACATGAAGGTGAAAAGAACCACATGCTAAATGGAAAGGAATGGGAGAAGAGGGGTGGAACATACAAGTATGGGGTTTAAAGGCCAGCACTAGGCTTCAAAAATAGGGGGTTCTCCCAATTAAGATGGAGATGAGGAGAAACTTCTTCTCTTAAGAGTGTCATCAACGTTTAGAATTCTCTTTCCCAGACAGCAGTGGAGGCTGGACTATTGAATATATTCAAGACTGAGTTAGACAAATTTTTGATTGACAAAAGGAGTCAAGTGTAATGAACAGAGCAGGAAAGTGGAAATACAACAACAACCAGAGCAGCTACAAACTTACAGATGGGCTGAATGGCCTGCTTCTGATGCTAATGTTCTCATCTTCAAGGAAAGGCTCATAAAAGGCTGCAGTTGAGGTACTCTGTATATAATTTTGGACACCCCATTCTAGGGAGCAAGAAAATGCATTATAAAGTCCCTTACACGAGATTTGATAATTGGTTTTTAAAGGAAGCTCTTAAGGTTAAGGGTGACCTGATAAATGATCATAAGTTTATGAAGGGTTATTGTCGGTTAAATAGTGACAGATTCCTTCCAAAGGTCATTGAGGCAGGAATGAGAGCATACACAATCAGAACAACAAGAAAGTGAAAGGGAGGTTACAAAAGTTCCTTTACAGAGTGTGGTTGGAATTGTATTTGGAATTGCTGTATGGCATTGTTGAACCAGAACCCATACGTTTTCATGAACAGGAATGAGCTAAACCTTGACAAAAGAGAAATACTTTGGAGGGAGCAGGTTTCTTTGCTGCAGCACCTGAGAATCTCTGCATCCTCACTGTCAAGATCAAGACTCATTATTTGAACATCTCTGAATTCAACTCATTTTCTCACCAATCCCTCAAAACTGTGGCAGTCTCTAAATGTCACAATTTTTGTCTAACAATCTACAATTCAGACCATTGAATATACTCAAGACTGAGTTAGGCAAATTTTTGATTGACAATGGAGTCAAAGGCAATGGAAACAGCATGAAAGTGGAAATACAACAACAACAAGAGCAGCAACAAACTTACAAATGGGAGAACCTCCTATTTTGAAGCCATTTCCTCTAGTTCTAGGTTCCCACGAGGAGAAGCATCCTCTCCACATCTCTACAAAGCCCCCCCTTAAACTCTAAGATTCTTTATTGTACAGGAGACAGGCTAGACCAGACAGCCTCACGCTATAGAAAATCATGCTACAGAAAATCACGTTATAGGGAAATCGCTATATTGGACAGTATAAAGTTTGCATTATCCAAACAGAGTCCACTATTCATCAGAGATAACAAGGTGTACAGCTGGATGAACACAGCAGGCCAAGCAGCATCAGAGGAGCAGGAAGGCTGACGTTTCGGGCCTAGACCCTTCTTCAGAAAAAAAAATTCATCAATCGTGTTACAGCCAATTCACATTAACAAAACACGTGTTATAGCAGAAATACCTGTACTCAAAATGTTAAACCATCTGGGCAGTTAACGGGTTTATTTGCCAAAACACTCAGATTCCCATTTAAGACAATGACAAGGAGAAATTTTCTCTCAGAGCGGTTTTAGCAAAAACATTGAACATCTTTTAAGGAAGAGTCAGATAATTTTTAGCTCCCTTATTATTGTGGCAATCCAGAACTAGAGGAAATGGCTTCAAAAGTAGGGGGTTCTACCATTTAAGATGGAGATGAGGAGAAATTTCTTCTCTGAGAGTGTCATCAACGTTTAGATGTTTCTTCCCCAGACAGCAGTGGAGACTGGACTTTTGAATATATTCAAGACTGAGTTAGACAAATTTTTGATTACTGAAGGAGTCAAGCATAAATGGACAGAGCAGGAAAGTGGAAATAATTGTGGTAAGTTGAGAAGTGGAATGGAGGCCACAATCAGATCAGTCATGATTTTATTAAATGGTAAAGCAGACCTGAGGGTCGAATGGCCTATACATCCTTCTAATTGATATGTTAGTATTACAACTTATTTTTTGTTTTATTCACTCATAGGACATGGGTGTCAGTGACTGGCCAGCATGTATTGCCCATCCCTAATTGCCCTTGGTGGAGAGCCACCTTCTTGAACTGCCACAGTCCACCTGATCTAACTTGTCTCAAGCATCCACTCCCTCCACCACCGACGCTCAGTAGCAGCAGTGTGTACCACCTGCAAGATGCACTGCAGAAATTCGCCAAAGAGCCTTAGCGTCTTCCAAACTCATGACCGTATCCATCCAGAAAGTCAAGGGTAGCAGGTATATGGGAACACCACCATCTTCAAATTCCCCAACCAAGCCACTCACCAACCCGATTTGGAAATATATCGCTCTTCTTTCACAATTGCTGGGTCAAATTCTTGCAATTCCCTCCCTAAAGGCATTGTGGTCAACCAACAGCAGGTGGACTGCAGCAGTTCAAGAGGGCAGCTCACCACCACCTTCTCAAGGGCAACTAGGGTCAGGCAATAAATGCTGGCCAGCCAGCGACGCCCACACCCCACAAATGAATTAAAAAACTCTTGCTCTATGTGATGACTTGGACTGGGGCTCGCCATGTCAAATTAAAATAAACACGAAACTATTAGAACAAGCCCAAGAGATTACCTGCATTTTTTACCCAGCCTCTCTGCAATGCCTAACTGAATTTTATGAATGAGAAACTTTGTTCAAAGCGAAATATTGATTAAATCTGGAACTGTATGGTTAACAGGGACATGGGAGTTTGGACTGAATAAACGTCAAAAAATATTATCAAAACAACTGATAGGTGGCCATTCATTTTTCCACTATTTGTAGTGGCTTGTTACAGACAACTGACTGTTGTGTTGCATTAAGCAGTATACTTAAAGTCTGGTAATAACATGGATCAACATCCTGCAAATGTGTTTATAGCGTGGGGTAGCTCATGTCTCCTCCCAAATTAAAAAAGAGAACCTGACATGAATGGCAAACACACCTTTATTGTATATTTATTCAAATACCTATGAAAATAGCAATTGTACTTACACATTTCTACAGTTGGAATAATTATCCATTCTGTAAAGGGATATTTAAATATTTTTCCTGGTGTCCTCTAAACTTTGATGGAATATCAGAGGCTGAGAGAAATACTGCAGCAAAAATTATGTTATACAATTTCTGCAGAATTTCCAGGAATCTTGTGTCTTCAGTACGGCAGACAAAGGGAGCTGGAATGAACACTACCTCAACATGCACAAGCTGCCATCTGTTTCAGCCAGCCAGCCTGGCTCAACACAAAAATGAGGAATTACTTTATCTTGCTGAAAGTAGATACTTTTCTCCTGTTAGAAAATTGCTTCAATCCCACAAAGTTACTTGATTTTAAAAGGTAATCTCGTGAGCCTGTTCAAAACAGTTTTGTGTTTACTTAAATAGAGATTGAGAGTCCCTAGTGCAAGACATTGAATGACAGAGCAGCTTCAAGAAGCCAATGGCCTGCTCTTGTTACTATTTCTTACATAAGTCCAACAGATGCTTAGCGTCAATAGAAATTTTTGGTACTTTTGCATCAGTAGATTTTTATTGGGTAAGGATATGAAGAGATATGAAACAATGTCAGGAAAACGAATTTGAGGTGCGAATTGGTCGGAGACTTATTGAATCGTAAAGCAGGCTCAAGGGGCTGAAATGCTTTTGTCTCTTTCTATGTTCTGTATTTTCACTCATGCCTCTCAATCATGATTCCTGAATAAAGCATGTAGTTGTTCAGGTTATTCAAAATATTTTTACACCCCTCTTCCCCCAGTTAGACATCACTTTGTTGGCATTTTTATGTAGTCAACAAGGCTTACATTCTCAAATTGTATTGTGCATAAGCTTAGTGATGAAAAGTCTAAAATTTGCATGCATTATTGGGATGTTGTTATGAAAGACTTTAAGTTAGCATCTCTTTAAGTACTCAATGCTGGGATGTAACTTTAGTTAAAAAAAAAAAATACACAGGAGTGAAAAGCGGTTAAAGTAGAGACATATTTCGCACATTTGGGCTCCAGTGAGTCTAGCATAAGGAGTAAATAGAAGTCATGACTGCTTTACCAATCAGCTAAAAGAATGGTCTGAAGGGGAGTCTCGAAGTACAAGCTAATTATAGTTTGTTGTGAGCAAGCCAGAAGTGTGCTTCCTCCTGGTCAAGGATTCCAAATACTTATAGTTAGAAGTTGTCATTTTGTGTTGACATATGTGCATATACTTGGGTTAGATATTGCAAAAGCTGCTTGTGATGAAAGATGTGATTTTTTATGTATATAAATACTTTAATAATATTTTTATAGTTTATTTTGGATTCTTAACTAGTGGCATAGGAGTTTGGTCTATTTGTGTGACAGTTGTTTGTAATTAACTAGGTAATTCCTTTCGCAACGAAGATTTCAAACCAGTATGTGTTAGATAGCAGATGACTGAAGCCAGAAGGCTTCCTGGATGTCAATGGAAGTGTCTTTATATTGTGGATTTTTACAGCAGGAACAGCAAAAGACATTACACCATTGGCTCAGCAGAACCTAGGATGAGCTTTCTAAAAATTTAGTTACAAGCTTCTGAATTCATTTTGGAGACCCGACTGAAGTTAGATGCAATAATAGTTTCTCCGAGAAAACAAAGTTTGTTGAGAGCAGTTGAGGAAATAAGTTATGTCAGTACAAGTCCAGAAGTCCACGGATTTATGGAAAGACAGACTGTCACTCGTTGAACTTGTATATCATGCCATGCCTCAATTAGTGGAATGTTGAGCAATCATCTTCACTGACCAATAGACCTTTAATTCTTAACTAGTTTAACATTTTTGCCAAAAAGATTATTCCTTGACTAGAATTTTCTTATTCTGGAGTTTAGTATAGAGCCCAAATCCCTACGCTCCTGTACATTCAAACTGAAAGTGATACAGTTCCAAAGATGCATGGCTTGGATGCCTCATTATCCAAGGCTGGATCTCTTGCACACACCAATTCAAACCCCAGGGTCTTCATTAGAGGAAGATTGAAGATAATTAGCTAAGAAGGGTAACTTGTCCTTAATAACCCATTTTTACAGCACCTTTCACATAATAAAACATCCCAACGCACTTACAAAGCACTTCAAGAAATGCCATCTTTAAGACTTTTTTAAAATTTGACACCAGGTCACCCATGGAGATATCAAAGCAGATGTAGAAAAACTTGGTCTTAGAGAGAGCATTTCATGGGAGAAGGGAAAGGGAGAGCTAGTGGAGAGGTTTAGGGACACAATTCCAGAGCTTGGCAGCTGAAGGTATGGCCACCAACCATGGAACATCAGGGACGTTCAAGAGGCTGGAATTGGAGGAGTGCAGTGACCTTGGAGGGTGGAGGAGTTGGGAGAAAATTCAGGAAATAACAAAACTCTGATTGTGTGACTGACCAATAGGCCAATTATGTCATAACACTAGCAGAGCCATGGAAGATCAGCTAGTGAGTAGCCTTATCTCCAGAGTATGGTGATGATGTTGGCTACTCAAGATTGTTTTAATCTGGCCTGTAACCTTTGAGGCCACTAGATCTATTGGATTTCTGTATTTTGGAAGCTGCCTGTGAAGCTCTATCTCCAGATTGACTGATTTAAAGACCAGGTTATTAATGACAGAATAGTGAGCACAGAGTGATTTCCCTTCTCTTTTTATTTTAAGACTTTTAGGACACTTGTACTTGATCCAATAGGCAGCTTGTAAATACTGTCGAATGGAAATCAGTAACAAGAGCTAAACAATGCTGGCAAAACTCAGCAGGTAGGGCAGCGTCTGCAGACACAACAAGAGGTTCAGGTTCATCAGAGCTGAAGATAGATAGAAAGAGATTTTTTTTAAGCCAGCGAAAGCGCAGACAAGGCAGAAGAACAAAGAAGGTGGTGTAAGACAGGGTGGAAGCCAGGGGAGATTAAACAATCAAAACTTTCATGATGCCACAGCCCAGGAGAGGATATAGTAAAGGAACAAAGATTATGTCCAAATTAGATGCAAATGGTTCCATTTAAAACATCCGGAGCGCGGCAGAAAGGAATAAAGGAGGAAACAAGACAAGACTAAGCCAGCAAAACAAAAACAAAACTACAACAATACAAAAATAGATGTTACAATCTAAAATTGTTGAATTCTGTGCTCAGTTTAGAAGAGTCTAGTGAAAAATAAGCTGCTATTCCTCGAGCTTGTGTTAAAGGTCCCTGGAACCTTATCCAAGCCATGGGCAGAAAGGTCAGCACGGAAGCAAGATGAAGAATTAAAATGACAAGCAACTGGAAGCTTGGGGACATGCTAGTTAGGTAGTCTGTTGTGGGCGGCGGTGGGGGGGGGGAGCGGGGTGCACACTGTGGCTTAGAAGTAACATTGTGGACTGGTAATCCCAAGAGGTCCAAGTTCATGTTCTTGAGACACAGATTCAAATCCTACAACAGCAGCTGGCGGAATTTACATTCAACTAATAATTGTGGAATTGAAAGCTAGTCTCAGTAACAGTGAGTGATAACTCTGATCAATTGTTGCTGAAACCCATCAGGTTCACTAACATCTTATAGGGAATGAAATCTGCCATTCTTACCACATCTGGCCTGCATATGACTCCAGACCTGCAGCAATGTGGTTGACTCTCAAATGCCGTCTAGAATGGGCTAGCAAACTATCCAGTTCAAGGGCAGTGAAGAATGGGTAACAAATACTGGCCTTGCCAGCAACGCCCACGTCTCACAAAAGAACTGAAAGAGTAACCTCTTTCATCTCACCTCAATTGTGGATGCCTTCAATAGTGCAATCTGGTCCTCCCGTGAGAGGTCAAGGAAGCCCGGAATCTGCTTGGCAAAGTCGACGATCTCTTGCACGGAGATGATTGCCAACTCTGTGAAGTGGGCAAAGCGTTGCTGTCGTGTCTCTCGATTGTGGGGGTCATTACTTTGTGGCCAAGGCTGAGGAAGAAGGAAGTAAAGAATGAACCATGATTCACATCCGAGATTATTCTTGATATTGATCTTAAACCAGTCACGACAACCAACTCCCATTCATAAACAGCATGTTGGCTCTACAGTACATTTCACATTCCTTACGAATTTATCTTCCATTAAAGCAACTCCAAACCATCTTCGGCAGAATTTGAGAGGCTGTTAATTTAATTCAGGTTTCAGATTGAGACCAAGTATGAAACAAAAGTCCTTTGGTTGACTACCTTATTTCGTTGGCTATGAAACGCTGTGGGATGACCCAAGTACATGAACGGCATTATATAAATGCAAACTTCTTTCTTTCTGCCAGGTCGCGGCCTGACACACATGGAGCTGTACCCCAACAGGACCTGGTCCTTGCAGGACAGCAGGGACTTTGTGTCTGTGTGTGAGGCGGGGTGTGCATTCAATGTGTGGATCACAGGCTGGATGGAGAAGAATGGCGGCAAAACAATGTATGATGGCCTCTGTTTTGGTAAACCCACCGTTACTTTCGGCTGGTCGCTGAATGATCGCTTGTTACACTGCTGCTGTGCGGCCACCAGCTGCTGGATCATCTCTTCCTGTTCCACCGTGAGCCTGGCGATGTCCACTGCCACCGGTGAGTCCTCTGCTGTCACCACCAACGTCTGAGCCATGTCATCCTCCCGCTTCTTCTGCTTCTTGTTGCGGATCTGCTCTTCCGACAGAACACCTAGAGACGGCAGCAAACAAGCCGATCACTCCATGATTATGGACCAAAACAATCTCTCCATTCAGGTTTGTTACATCTGAATAGTTACATCGTCTGCTTAGTCTCCTCCATAATACTTTTTAAAATAATGTCTGCAGTATTATTAGAAACTTATCAACCTGAGTATTGATCGTGAACTAGAAATTTCTCCTTCCACTTTTTCAAAACAAAATTCTTCCACCTATCCAGTTTCCAACCACCAATGCTTATCAACCTAAAATTTGTCAAGATCTTCATCTTATCTTCTTACTTAAGAATCACAACCCAAACACAATTTTTCAAAATTTCCATTAATTCTATCTTAATTTTAAAAATCCCAACCTTTCCACCTCTCCACCTCATGTCCTATCACTCAATTCACCTTTCTGAAAGGTCTTCAAAAACATCATTTTGCTTCATTCCTTTCTCTTCAAACAAATTTAGTCTGGTTCCCACTTCACCCTCATCATGAAGCCTATCCTGGTCAAAGTCATCAACAAGATTCTGCACTTGGGACCAAATTATCCATCCTTTATTTCCTCAGTGGCTCCATGCCTCTTCAAAATACTCAATCCATCCTCTTCTGCCACCTCTTCTCTGATCCATCTCCACACAATTGCACAATTAGGATTCCAATCCTACCTTTTTTTGGAAATTCATTCAGAGGATGTAGCTAACATTTATTGTTCATTCCTAATTGCCCTCGAGAAGGTGAACTGTTTTCTTGGCAACAATGTTTTCTGTCTTTTAGCCAAACATTAATCTATGCCAGTACATTACCTTGTATACCATGTTCTTTAATTTTTGTAATCAACCTCCTATGGGTGCCCTTACCAAAAGCCTCCTGAAAATCAAAATGCACTGCATCTATCAATTTCCCACTATCAATTTTGTTTGTAACTTCCACCAAATTTCGCCATATTTGTCAGACACGATTTCCCTGTTCGCAAATCCATGCTGACTAGGTCCAATAAGATCATTGTTATCCAAGTGTCCATTTATCACTTCCTACAGATTCTAGCATTTTCCATAACACTGAAGCAAGGCTGGTGGGTCTGTTCTTTCCTGCTTTTTCCCTTACTTCTTCCTTGAATAGTAGGGTGACACTTGCAAGCTTCCAATTTGCAGAAATCATTCCAGAATCTATGGCATTTGGATGATAATTACCAATGTGAAAACTATCTCTATAGACATCTTCTTCAATGCGCTGTGATGTAAAGGAGGGGTGATGGCCTAGTGGTATTAATCATTGGAATGTTAATCCAGAGACCCAGGTAATGTTCTGGGGACCCAGATTTAATCCCACCACAGCTGATGGAGGAATTTGAATTCAATAAAAGTCTGGAATTAATAGTCTAACAATGACCATGCCAAATATCAGGAAAAACTCATCTGTTTCACTAATGTCCTTTAGAGAAGGAAACTGTCATCCTTACCTGGTCCGGCCTGCATGTGACTCCAGACCCGCAGCAATATGTGCTCTTATTTGCTCTCTGGGCAATTCGGGATGGGCAATTAACGTTAGCCAAGCCAGCAATGCCCACATCCCACGAATGAGTAAATTAAAAAAAAAACTATCAACTTTCAGACCCATTCATTTCTTTGGCACAATCTTCTTACAGATACAAATGTCCTTCAACTCCTCATTCTTCTTAGTCTTTTGGATCTCTAGTTCTGTGAGATTTCTTGTATCTTCCTCAGTGAAAGCAGACACAAATTAATTATTTATCTTCTCTGCCATTTCTCTATTCCCAATTGTAAATTCTCCTTATAATGATTTTAATGGACGCACATTTGTCTTCACCAAATATTTTCTTTTTATGTACATTTTCTGTGCAATTTTGTAAACATTTTTCATGGCAGCCACCCAAACCCAACACTGCATAAAACTACAACTCTTCTACAACATTGCAGCTTGAAGCAATTCTCAGACATGAATGGCCCTTGTCTTCACCAGCCTCCACAGCGTCAGTGCAATTATCTCCAAATCCTAGAATGGCTTTCCAAAATCTCCACAACTATTCCCAGTACAAAAAGTGTCCTGACTATGGGGTAGCCTCGCACTGAGTATCCAGAACTGGCATGTATGTTGCTCAGCGTAGCCAAATAAAAATTATGCACTGTACCAATAAATACCATGAGCCAATTCTATATCACAATACCACCAAATTCAAAGGGACGCAAAAGGCTTAAAACTCGCTTACAATGTTCTCTCATTCCTGCCTCGCGACATTTTCGCAGCCGGCACTCCTGGCATTTCCTGCGCATGTACATGTCCATTTCACACTTGCCACTGTTCTTGCAGGTGTATTGTGCACTCTTGATGACACTGCGACGGAAGAAGCCTTTACAGCCCTCACAGCTCAGCACGTTGTAGTGAAAGCCTGATGCCTTGTCCCCACAGACGCTGCAAACCTCATTCCCCAACATCTTCGGGGCTGGGCCCTTCTTGCGCTTTACCATTGGCTCATCCCCTGAAAGGCAGGGTAAAACAATGAGGTATGACTCCCGGCAAACAAAATTTTACAAACAGGGTCAATGAGCAAATCAAATCAAAACAAAGTATATTTACATAGCAGCTTCAATGGAATGAAATGCCCCAAAGGACACCAGGGTTGAGGAGTGCATTAATGGAGGAAAGCCGGGTAAGAGAGGGGAGAGATGTAGCAAAGAAATTTGAAAGATTATGGCCTAAGCAAGTGAAACCAAAACCACCAACAGTAGATGGAATAAATTTGGGAATATGCAAGTGGCCAGAATTAAAGGAGGGCAGTTATCACATCAAGTTGGGGGGCTGGTGAATTTTACAGAAGCAGGTGGGGTGAGAGCATGGAATGATTTCAAAAGCATGAATGTAAATTTTAAAATCAAGAATTTGCTTCATTGGGAGGCACGGGCAGCAGAGTTTTGGCTGACCTCGGGTTTAGAAAGGGTACAGTGTGAAACATCAGAGCGGCACTGGAATAGTCAAGGCTAGAGGAAATGAAGGAAAGGATGAGGGTTTAGATGTAATGGGAAAAAATCAACTGGTGTTGTGAGGGTGGAAATGGCTACTCTTAGTGATGAAACATATATGAGACTAGAAACTCATCTTGAATCAAATAGGGCACCAAAGTCGACAGCAGCATTGAACTTGTTTAAAAGATTGCATTAGTCTGTCTGCCTGAGCTTGGTGTTTGGGTTGTTTGCTTTATTAAAGATGTCAAGGCCATAGAGAAAGAACTTCGATTTATTGAAGTGATAGCAGGAATTATGAGAATTAATGATTTTCTTCAATGGCACTGAAGGATTACGAAGAAATCCAATAGAATGTTTACTTTACTGTTAGAATGGGGAACTTGCTACCATCTGAGAAGTGGAGGCATATGCATTAAACCATCCGTGGGAAGCTACATAAGCGTGTGAGAGAAATGAATCAAATATGGATATGTTCATGAGGTTGGATGACATAAATGTTAATGGTTTGTTGATCATGTCATTAAAACACACTGGTGATGGGGATTGTTTGATTTAAGTCTGGGATCACATATAAAAGAGAGATGGGCTTTGGCACAGTGGTAGTGCATCCACCTCTGGGCCAGAAGGTCTGGGTTCAAGCCCCACCTCAGAATGTGATGGCCACAGAACAGCATCATAGTATATGAAAAGATTATTCTTTTAAAAATGCAAAGGAAGATAGCTTTGTGGAACAGCAGTGATATCTTTATCTCTGCACCGAGTCCAAGTTAAACCCATCTCTATTACAGAAGTCCAAATAATCACAAAATCTCTACAATGTGGATACAAGCCATTCAGCCCATTAAATCCACACTGACCCTCCCAGCCCCCCTACCCTATCCTTGTAATTCCGTATTTTCCATTGCTAATCCACCTAGTCTGCACAGCCCTAGACACTGTGAGCAATTTAGTATGACCAATCCACCTAACCTGTGCATCTTTGGACAGTGGGAGGAAACCGGAGCACCCAGCAGAAACACAGGGAGAATGTCTGTGTGGAGATTGCACAGTCGGCCTAGACTGGAATTGAACCCGGGTCCCTGGCGCTGTGAGGCAACACTGCTAACCACCGAGCCACCCCAAATGGGTTGATTTGAAATAATTCATAAAGAGAGATTGGTCTTGTGGCTCAGTGGAATTATCCCTATTTCTGGGCCAGGAGGTCCAGGTTCATATCCCACCTGTCGTGGACATGTGTAAAGTAAGGCAGTAGGGAGACTGGGTAATAGTTAGGAAGTAGGTATTTCTAAGTGTGCATCCAATGAATAAACCTACTAACAAGGAAAAGAATGGTCTTGTTCGTACTTCATCATCTAGCTTTCATTCAATTAACAGGGATCGGGCTCATATAAAAATCTATTGGATCAATGGGCCTTGTTCTGAATTATACAGAGAACAGTACAATGTGAAACCATGAGGGATGATAGTGATAAATAAAAATATTGCTGAAAAGAAGGACATGTTATTGAAGCTTCCATCTTGCACCACATCAAGCCAAATGCAAGAATGTCAAATCTTAAATGATTACAACAATGTATTCCATATGAAAAGTACAAATTGTTGTGATTGTTTGAATTTTGGGATTTTTGGCTTTGTTCCAATGAACTCTGGCAGCATCTCTCCCTTTTCTCAGCAATGCTCAAATAGAAAATTCTTAAACTCTGACAGATATATATTTAACCTCTGTGCACCAAGCTCCTTACACTCCTGTTTCTAATAAAACACCTTATATACCAGTTCCTGTGTAGTTCAAGTCACTTCTGATCCAACAGTTCAAAGTAGAAATGATGAATTTTTCCAAAAGATCTTTTGAAGTAACAGTTCCTTTCTCTTTGAATAAAGTCTTACCACAGATACTTAGGGAAAATTCTGGCTCGGCGGAGAATGTACCATTATGGAGCGTGGCGACACAGTCACCACTCTCCTCCACCTCCTCTTCCTTCACATGATGCTGTGCGCTGTCTGCACTGTCCTCTGTGACAGGCTCTGTGATACTTTTGTCACCTTCTGAAAATATAGATGCAGAAAATGAAATGAATTAAAACTGCCCAAAGTTAATGAAACAGAGTTATATGTTTGGATAATTGTGACTCGTATGAAAACAAAATCTTAGGAGCAACACAGAATAGTTATGACACAACTGGAGGCCATTCAGCCTGTAGAATCTGTACTGGCTCTACATAAGAGTAATGTACCTAGTACCTTTACCCAAACATCTAGCTGTAAGTTTACACATTCTGCTTTTTCAGATAATTGCCCAATTCCCTTCTGAATATCTTTATTGAACCTGCTTCCACCAGACCCTTAGGGAGTGCATTCTAGATTCTAACAACCCTCTGCAAGAAAATGTTTCTCCTTGTGTCTCCTTTCCCAGTTGCTTTCAATCTGTGCCCTCTTGCTGTTGAAACTTCCACAAGTGGAATTGTTCCCCTCTTGAATGGAGAAGGTAGAGGGGAGATTTACCAGGAGATGTTCAAAATTAGGAAGCGTTTTGACAAATTGGTTAAGGAGAAACTATTTCGACTGTGGATTTGATTAGCAATCGGGGGACAAGATTGAAGTTCATTGGCAAGAGTCAGAAAGGAGACAAAAACTTTTTCTAACATAACAAATTATGATGATCTGGAATGCAAAGCCTGAAAAGGCAGTGGTGGAAATGCCAACAGTAACTTTCAAAAGGGAATTTTATAACCTAGGTCGCAGCAAATGTATAAGCTCAGCGTATCAGACAACCCAACTTTTCAGACTCAAAAAATGATGTTTCAGAAAATACTTGCTGAATTAAGTTCAATTCCTTCTCCAACCATGACATGCTATTTTTGGTTAGTGGTTCCTCTCAATTTTTTACCCCACAAACATTTTTGTACAAAATGCTACCTTATAAATGAGGACAAGGGATCAAACGGCAATAGAGACTGTGCTGCATTGATGCGTAGGAGTTTAAAACATGCCAAAACAGAGCAGAACCTACGTGGAAATCAGTAAAAACGTTGCTCACACACACCAGCGGTTCTCTTTTATATGAGTATAACTGAAACCCCTCCCCCATTTAATTGGAGTGTGTTTTTGAGGCTTCAAAAATCAGCTTATGTACTAAAAGCAACCAAATACATAGTTTAAAAGGAAAAATCTGCAGTCCTCTGGGTAAACAGCAAAGAGAGTGGATTGGATAGCTCTTTCAAAGAGCCAGTACAGACATGATGGGCAGAATGGCCTCCTTTTGCGCTGGATAATTCTATAAAAGGGCCTACCGTGGCCAGCATCCAAGCCATTTACAGCTGGGAAGGACATCTTCCATCATGTGTGCCACTGCATTCTGAAAATACAATCCCAGTGGGAAGCTGAGAAAAAGAAGAAAAATAATTATAGATTATTAATACTGCAGTTTGATCTTTAATTTTATTCTTTCACTTCTTTACCTGGAAGTACTGGATTTCAGCTTCTACTCTACCTATGGTGCAACTGCCCAGTGGCCATTTTTCACAGCTACATTCAGACAATGAAACTTGACAGACTAGTCAGCACTAAGTTGGGAATTCTGTTAGCAGGGCTAGCCATAGAGCTTAAATATTACTAAAAGGGGAGCAACGTCACTGAAGCTTTTTATCTTGCACTCATCAGGACAAATCCAAGGATGCCAAATTGCAAACAGCCACACAAATTTAGAGGAGGAAAGGGCTACTTGGTTGCCCTGGCCAAGGCATGACCATGGAGAATGCTGAAGGGAAACTGAAGGCTACTCAAACTCCTGCGTAGCTCAAAAATGCATAAGGCTTGAGCATTTTCCTTTTGATTGAAAAGAATGGGTCCACATTCTTTCCTAACAGAAAATTGAACAGCACTAACTGAGCAATCCTGAGTGCATTTATAGATACACCAACAACAAACTTAAGTTAATCAGTTGAGCCTGTGATATGGCTCACCATTGATATACAGCAACATGTTCTCTGCAAAGGAAAGGAATATTACTCGGGACGAAGATGTGCAGGTTAGGTGGATTGGCCATGCTAAATTGCCCATTGTGACTAGGGATTTGCAGGCTAGTTGGATTAGCCATGGGAAATGCGGGGTTACGGGGATAAGATGCTCTTCGGAAGGTCGGTGCAGACTCGATGGACCAAATGGCCTCTTTCTGCACGTAGAGATTCTACGATTCTGTGACATTGGGGTTTTGTCACTGCTGTCTCCAGTGGCAATGCCTCAGTGAGTCAGAGCCAACGTGCCAAGTAATCAGCATGTTTTTCCCCTCTAACATAAACTGTTGAGAATATTTGAAATTTGTATTTGTCCTGATCAGCGACAGCAAGACAAAAACTTCAGCATACTTCTCATTTCAGCAAGCACTCTAGATTTCTGGACAATCGTCAGGCAAACTGTTTGACAGGAAACCAACAGAGGCAAACTAAGTAAATTCTGTCAGAGATAGTAGGAACTGCAGATGCTGGAGAATCCGAGACAACAAGGTGCAGGGCTGGATGAACACAGCAGGCCAAGCAGCATCATAGGAGCAGAGAGGCTGACGTTTCGGGCCTAGACCCTTCATCAGAAAAGGGGGAGGGGAAGGGGGTTCTGAAATAAATAGGGAGAGAGTGGGAGGCGGATAGAAGAGGGATAGAGGAGAGGATAGGTGGAGAGGAAACAAACAGGTCGAAGAGGCGGGGATGGAGCCAGTAAAGGTGAGTGTAGGTAGGGAGTTAGGAAGGGGATAGGTCAGTCCAGGGAGGACGGACAGGTCAAGGGGGCGGGATGAGGTTGGTCGGTAGGAGATGGAGGTGCGGCTTGAGGTGGGAGGAGGGGATAGGTGGGAGGAAGAACAGGTTAGGGAGGCAGGGACGAGCTGGACTGGTTTTGGGATGCGGTAGGGGGAGGGGAGATTTTGAAACTTGTGAAATCCACATTGATACCATTGGGCTGCAGGGTTCCCAAGCGGAATATGAGTTGCTGTTCCTGCAACCTTCGGGCACTTTTCCCTGCAACCGCAGGAAGTGCTACACCTGCCCCCATACCTCCTCCCTCACCCCCATCCCAGGCCCCAAGAAGACTTTCCACATCAAGCAGATGTTCACCTGCACATCTGCCAATGTGGTATACTGCATCCGCTGTACCCGGTGTGGCTTCCTCTACATCGGGGAAACCAAGCGGAGACTCGGGGACCGCTTTGCAGAACAC